GCTCGACCCCTACATTGCCAAATGCCTCCTCAATTTCATATTGTAGAGGAGGGTGCTGAATCAAAGATTTGATTCGGGCATAAGACCAGTAGGGAATGTGCTAGGGGGAGGAAATGAAACATGAGAAACTTACTGAATGTGTTGGGGGGAGAGACTGCGGCCTGGAAAAGGTTAACGATTGTGTCAAGGGCAGGGACCATGGGAGAGAAAAATTGCTAATTATCTCGCTAGAAAAGCAATGTGTTATGATTGAACCCAGACAGGTATGACCCTACTCATAAATTTTATGTAAACTTTCTCTCTCTTCAGTACCAGGAACGGCTAATGAACTGCTTTGTAGTTAGTTTTTTCTTTTTCTTCTAACACTGTGTAGTTGGCAATAAAAGATCTTGCTGCACCCTTGGTCGGGGCCACATGCTGCAAACCTTCCCAGAGGGGGAAGGTGCGGGCTGTGGTCAGCTGGCTAGCTTAATAAAGGCTCTTAAATTTAAATTCTGAGTCGGTGGTCTATCTCGCTGAGCCAACCCACAACCCCTCTCTGTAAAAAATCAATAAAATATATTTTTTTTAAAAAGAAAGAAAAAAAAAAAAGGACCAGATGCATAATTTGTGGAGCCCAGTGCAAAATAGAAATGTGGGCCCCTTGTTAAAAAATGATGAAGAATTTCAAGATAGTGACAGCAGAGCCTTCAGCCAAGTGGGGGCCTTACTCAGTGGGGGCCCTGTGTGACTGAGCAGACTGCATGCACCTGAGCCAGCCCTGACTTTAAGCTTCGAAAGACCACACGGGAGCCCCTTCCACGGACCAAGAATATGCAAAAATGAGCCTCAACTGCCCTGCATCAGGCTCCGAGGCAAGAGGGCAATAAACTATTGGGAAAAGAGGAGGGCTTCCGTGCCAAAGGGCATGGACGAGAAGCCCCACTCAGCCACTCGCATGCTCTGTGATGTTCACTGTCAAGGTACTTAACTAACTCCCTGAGCCGTCCTCATCTGTGAAACGGGCTCATGGAGGCCTACCTGGCGTAACTGCTGTGGGGAGAACAGAAAGAAATGCAAGCGTAACATCCAATACCCTGCACCAATCAGGCCCCTTTCCTCAAAGGTTTTTCACAGGAGAGAAAATTGAGGGTCAAAGATGTGAAGAGACCTGCCCAGAGACCTGCCCCAGCCAGAAGCTGTGGAGCCGGCAGGTGAGCCCAGGCCATCTGGCTCCAGAGTTCAAGTCCATAACTCCCATGCCCCTGAGCCTCAGGACCCAGGTCTGGGTATCTCTGAGCCTGCTCCTTACACCACCTTTAAAAAAAAAAGAAAGAAAGGAGTGGGTCGAGGAGGTCTGCAAGGTGTGATCTAGCAACAAATTCCAGCCTGCACCTGAGATGCCGCACTCTGGGAGGGCAGGGACCATCACCCCTCACCTGGCCCACAGCAGGTACTCCCAAACATTGTTGAGCATTTACCAGTCAGTCCTATCACCCCTTACTTCCTTCCTCTTACCTTGTACCCCCAAGAGACATGAAAGCAATTAACAACCCAAGGATGTCCGCCCTGCACTTGGCAATCCCTGAAGCCCTTTCCTGCCTCACCTGCTCACCTCCTAGGGCCACCAGGAAAGCATAGTCCTTAGATCCATTTCCCACTGAAGGCTATTTAGCGCAAAAGCTAAAAGTAACCGGTGCCGCTGAAGCCCTTTCCTGCCTCACCTGCTCACCTCCTAGGCCCACCAGGAAAGCATAGTCATCCATTTCCCACTGAAGGCTATTTAGCGCAAAGGCTAAAAGTAACCAGTTGTGCCACCACTTCCCACCTGTGTGCCCTTGAGCAAGTTACTTAACTTCTCTCTGCCCCCTCTTTGCATGCAAATGGAGATAATAATAGTAACTCAGTTGCTTAAGCTTAAAGAGTCCCTCCAAGTAAATCACTCAAAGCAGGGCTAGGCAAAGAGGAATCACTGAAGGATGATAGCTGTTATTTTTACTCCAGAGACATTCCCTAATAAATAGTGCCAGGCACAGTGCTTTGTGCTTTCTCCACTATAAAACCAGAAATAACCTTGTAAGTCCCTCTTCTTCTCTCCCAACGGGGGATCACCATCTGAGGGAAAAGACAAACTCAGAGAAAGAGAAAGAAGAAAGTCTATGACCACACAAAGCAGTCAGCGGGAGTGGGCAGCAGCACCTCGAGGCCGTGGGAAGGCTCGGCAAAGGTGGAGGTGAGGGAGGTACTGCCAAGAAGGGGAGAGGTACAGATCAGGTGCAGAGGACAGGAGGGGTGCTGGCAAGACTGGTCACGGGCGGACATTGACCCTTTACCTACCAGAGTGCGCTGAGCTCAGGACCCTGCCCAGGGCTGCACCAGTCCCATGGGGAACATGGGAGGAAGAGACAAGCATGGGGTGGAGGGGGAACCGGGGGTGAGCAGAGTTCTGGGGCTCCTGCAAATAACTGGCCATCCATCCCCCACCCAGCTTCTCCAAGTTTCCTTAGTTGCCTTTGCTGACTCTGCATGTAACCAGAACTCCCAGTTATCCATCTTTTTTAGCGAGGTGGCAAGTCCCTGCAAAGGCAGATGACCTAAGTCCTGCTGAACAAAGGTCTCCATTTCTGCAAACACTGAGTGCCCAGCCTCCCCAGGAACCAGATGCCTCACTGAGATTTGGGGGGGAGCGGGAGAAGTGGGGGGGTTCGGAGAGAAAGAAAGATGCCAGGTTTTACTAGTCAGGTTTTGTTTTGGTTAAACTGCAAAGTCCCAAGAAACCCCCAGAGGACCTGTCCCAGACGTTTTGAGATGACAAAGCCTTGAGAAACAATGGGCCCAAGTTCTCCACTTTACAGATGAGAAAATTAAGACCCAAAAATGAAAGTGAACTATCCAAGGTCAGGGAGCCAATCGGGGCCGGGGCCAACACGGAACCGGGCCCATTCAGCGAATGCTGGGGACGACCCCCTGGCCTGGCCCTGGCCTTGGGCAGCTGTGTCTGGCCCCAGTCCCTGCCCTCAAGTCCTGCTCTGGGTCTGCTGTCTCGGGGTCTCCCTCACCCCAGAAATCAGCCCCGAGGGCCACCGGTTCCCGGGATCCGCCCGAGAGCAGCTCCCACGCCCAGGACGCGGGGGAAGGGGCCCCAGTGC